AAGCTATAATAGAAAATAAAAACTTCAAGAGTTTATATATGCTATAAATAATCTAATTAACATTAAAACTAAAGGTAGATCAAATAAACGATTTAAAGCTTTTAATAATATTACATCTGCAAATTTATATATACGAAATTTTTCGAAAAAATTTGTATCATAAAAAAATAATAAAAAATTTCAAAAAAAATTTCAAAATATTTCGAAAATTTTAAAATTTGAAATATTTTGCAAAATATTTTGAAATTTTTCAAAATTTTTTTCAAAAAATTTTGTCAAAATTATTTCGCAAAATTGCGAAATTTAGAATATTAAATTTTAATACCTGGTAAATATTACAAAAAATTCGGAAGTTAGCTTTTTTTGATTTTATTTTATTTCATTTTTTTTTTTTCTTCAATAATTTTTTTTGATATTTTTCAATCATACAGATCTTTGCACCTATAATTTTTTTCTTTTTTTCATTTTATTATTTTTATTTATTCATTTTTTTTTATTATTCATTTCATTTTATTTTTATTTATTTTAATTTTATTTATTTTTTTTTTCTATTTATTTTTTTATTATTCCTGTATATTTTCTTATATAGTATTTTTTTTTTAGTTTAGCTAATATTGTTTTCTTTTATAGGTTCACTAAATAATATGAAATATGAGGAATTGCACTTTTCAACAACCACACTAATACAGTATCGGAATCTCGGTTTAGAAAAGAAAAAAGCATTAGGTGATGCATTTTCTAGCAACTTATTGGAATTCCAGAGATCTTGACCTGAAAAGGTTAGAACTGTTACTAAAATAAGTGCCAACTATTTGTTTTTTTTATTGTTTTTCATTCTTTGTTCTAATTAATCTTTTTTTTTAGTTTTTGTATAATGTCAAGAAGGGGTGAAGGGTATATTGTTTAAATCTTGATCTAGAGATCTTGACTCGGAAGGACTAGAGCTGGTATTAAGATAAGTATCAGCTTTTTGTATTATTTTTTAATTTTACATTTAACTATTCCTTTTTACATAGATCTTGTACGAAGATGGACTATAGTATCTACTATATACAGTAGACCCCTAAATACACTCTTCTCTTGGGCCCAACTAATATTAAATCTATAAAATTTTACCTTCCTAAATGCAATACATCTCTAAGTGCACATTTGACTAAATTTTTGTATATAGTCCTGTTGCATTGCATTTAGCGAGGTTTGACTATATTTTGAAATGTGTCAATATATATGATTTTGAAAAAATGTGTATTTTCCTTACTAATTAAAAATGATCTGATATTAACATGTATGAAGGTACGTATGTCTGTAAATAAATCAGTTTTACACTTTTTATCAATAATTTGCCTAAACTAAAATTGTTTGTCTAGATAAAAAAATCTGAATAAAAATTTGTTGTAATGGAAAAAACTATTTCGTTCAATAGTTTTGTTTTACCAACCACGTAAAATATTGATAATAAATCACAGTTTGTTAGCATAGATTCAAGTGAACTTAAAGTGAATTATATGGGTAAGATGTGTAATCAATTTTAAATAAAATTTCTCAAAAAAATATTATAATTTAAAAAAAAAATTTTTTAAAGATCCTAATGATTATAAAATGTAATTTGAGCCAATAATTCAATTCCTTCACAATGCAGATTATTTTACTTTGAAATTGAAATTATAAATAAAAGAAAAATGTATAATATTAAATAATTATTTTTATGTATTAAATCAATATTATTAAAATTTTCATAATCACTTTAATTCTATTTATTATTAGTAGAATACTGTACAAAACAAAGTAATATAAGCGATTTCATGCCTGGTAATAACGGATTATTTTTTATTTAATTTTTTATTATTACATATTAATGCTGCTATAATATTGATTAGGAAGAAAATATGAAAAAGAAATAAGGAAAATCAATCATTGGGGATGGTGATGATGGATTTTTTTTAAATCTGGGAGTAGCAATCATATGGACCGACATATACTGTTAGTGATACAATTGGATGTTATTTAAATTTTAGAAATGACAATAAGATGATATTTTATACTAAAAATAATATAAATCTAGGTAAATTTAATTTATTTTTGATATATGTTGTTATTCTTAATGATTTTAAGTTAATTAATAAGAATCTGATATTTAATTATATCTCAAGGAATTGCATATTATCTCCTAATGATTTAGATAATTTAAAAAATAATTTGTATTCTTGCATTAAACTAAGATCACAAGACATATTTGTCAAAGCGAATTTTAGAAATAAAAAGTTTAAATATTTAAGTAAATTTTATTTAACATTAAATTTTATGCATATTTAAAACATTTAATAACGATAATATCTCTTTATGAATAGCAATAACTAATGATAATATTGGTAAAGAATTATGGGAAGTATGCTGGATCAATTCTAAAACCTTTGATCAATACGTAGACAAACTAAAAAATAAATCAAATGAGCACTACAGAGAAAAAACATGTAACTGAATATAGTAAATTATTATGATTAGTTACGGATTTACGCTCTACAACACTCAAATGATATATTTATACTAATGTCTCGAGGAAAGTATTTTTAATCATATGCAAATACAAAGAAGCATATGCAATTTTAACTAGATTGCTAGAAATTGAATCAGAGAACATAATAGTACTAAAATATCGTGAAGAAATTAATTATATAATGGAAAGGTATACAGAATCGATTGCTGACTTGAAAAACTTATTAAAATTTAAACCAGATAATACATGTGAAAAGAAGCTTGTAAATTAGTTGAAAGATTGTAAGTATAATGCACTTATAAAAATTAGTATCTTAAAAAAGTCAAACTTATATAATTTAAATACTCATACCAGTCTGTAGGTAATTGGAGTCTGAAACCCAAAGATTTCAAATCAAAAATGTTAATTACATTCTAACAGAAATAATATAACATTAACCAATCCATATACAATACAATCCTCTATATTATGGCAGTGTGTTAGTAAAACGGAATAAGAAAATTTTAAATCAGAAATATCAATTATATTCTAACAGAAATAATATAACATTAACCAATCTATATACAATACAATGCTTTATATTATGACATAGAATAAAAGTTAAAGTTAGCGTAATTATGGTATTATGACAGAATAGTATAGTTATTATGTAATCATATTTAATAAAAAAATAAAATAAAATAAATAAATTAATAAATAATACTGTATATATATATTGATTTTTTTTTTGGTATTAAGATGACCTCTTAGTCGGGTCTCTTTATTTAGTTATTGATTAACTTTACTGTATGCTAAGCCCCTCTCAGCCTGTACAGTATACATATTTTTGAAGAATACATACTAGCCATATGTACAACTTTTGGTTGCCTATTTAAGTAGTCCGCTTATCATCAAGTTCTACACTAGATGCTATACTTGCAACCCAACTAGGGAGTTAACTATTTAAACCCTCTGTGCTGTATGTGGATCAACCTTTTATATAACTGAATTAGGATATAATCTTTAAGAATTCTAATTTAGAACTTTAAAGCAGGCTCAACCAGTGAGCCTTTTGTCCTTGAAGTAAACCTGCTAGAGCTTTCTGTACCCACAATCTGGCTAGCCTAGGCTTCAGTAACTTGCGCCGAGTTCGTGAACAAGTACTTGCAAGCTGAAGCTGCTATCATTACCTACTTCTGCCCTTATAAAGTTCGCTCAAACTCCGGTACACACTTTACAGACCATCTACGATATCTCTAGCCATTTCAAACTACCAATCCAGATAGCCCGGAAGGGCTGTGATCTGCTTCTGGCTTCTACAGTTGGGTCCTTTTCCTCCAGTACTCCTCTGGCGGCCTGGTTGATGGAGTGCTTTGCCAAACACTCAGTCCTGTTCAGTTTTTGCCAGTTCTTCTAATGATAATTCTTTACATAGTACCATCAAAGATCTGTGCTATTTCTCTACTCGGGTCTTGCCAAGCAAGTGTCTGATATCTTTTATGGTTCCTTGAGTTAACATGATCTGAAACTTTTTTTATATAACTTATATATTACACAAATGCCCATGATCTCCCAATCTTGTTGGTATTACCAAGGTTAAAGAGATCCTGTTCCAACTGACTAAACAAATACAGTAGCTATCGTACAGATAGAATTTTCAAAATTCATCTCCAGTGGGTTTCGAACCCCTATCTATCCAACATATCATTTGGGGGTGTGACAACTTAACCACTTCACTAAGTCACTACACTCTGTATATATATATTAATATGTAGTTATTATTATGTAATTATTATATATTTTTTATTTGCTTAATTATCTTGTTTAATACATATATTATTAATTTGTAAATATTTTCACATTTATTCGCATATTTTTGAAAGTTTTCGAAAAATTTCGAAAAATTTTTTTTGAATTTTTTCGAAAATTTTTGAAAATTTTTTCAAAAGAAATTTTTTCGAAAATTTTTATGGTAAATACAATTTTTTCGAAAAATTTTGGTATGCAAATTTTTTCGAAAATTTTTGTTTATATTTTTTACTGATATTACAAATATATTAAACAGCAAGAATACAAAAGTGAAAATGCCCAGGATTACTTCGGATTCAAGTAATAATATAAAGCTTTATTTTAGTATTTATTATTTTTTTTCTTTTACTTGTATATTATTTAATCATTCTGTTTGGTAGGAAATAATATATCAGATACAAAATCTATAAGTAATACGGAAGAGGCTTCTGTGAACAAGAGAAAATGTAGAATTTGCAATTTGAAAGGCTATAATGTACGAACTTGTCCCAATCTTGCAGAATCTAATATCGTTGGGTTAGAGTCTGCTAATATTAATGAAGAAACCAGCATAAATAAGCAAAAATGTAGGATATGCAGTTTGGAGGGCCATAATGCACAAACATGTCCTAATTTTATAGAATCTAGTAGTTTTGAAATGACAAAATCTGTTAATGATGCAGAGGAAAACACGAACAAGTGAAAATATGGTAATTGTAGTTTGGAAGGCCATAATGCATGAACTTGTCAGAATTAAATAAGTAGAATCAGTATTATATGAACATGTAGTAGGTGCTATTATATTTAGTATAATTTGTATATAATTGTACTATCGTGTTTTATATTATGCTACGTATTTATTACTTGAGCCTTACAGAGGTTATTACTATATACCTTTAGTTTTAATGTTAATTAGATTATTTATAGCATATATAAACTCTTGAAGTTTTTATTTTCTATTATAGCTT